TTTACAGCCCTTTGTCAATCCGAATGCTCCACATTGCGTTTCAAATCATGGGGGTTGTTTGGCCAAACTTTATTACGCTGGTCAGTGCCAGTTTGTTAAGGAGAGCCCAGAATTGGTTCAGATATCACTCACCGCTCATGTTGGCCGGCAGCCGTGCATCAAACTCACGTCGCTGGGTTCATGGTGCATGCGCGAATCGGATTGCGAACTCACATGCCATTGTTGTGAATTTAACATTTTGGCGAAGATCAGGGAGCGTTGGAGACGACGATGACGATTGTACAACGTACAAGCATCATTACACGTTGTAGCAGTCATCAGAAAATTCTGCTCGGATTGTGGCGCACCGAAGCCAACACATCGCACTGCGCGGCGCGCGCGTCTCGCGTTATTTATGAGCGGCTCTGTTTGTTTAAGTGACAGAACATCTGCTCCCCTGAGAGCGTTCCCGAACTACGGAAACTGTTTATTTAAGTTCCGATATTTATTTAGACTTTTTTTCTCTCTCTCTCTCTCTCTAACCGTAGACACACACGCGTGCAACGCGCACATTACATCGCTATTGAATTACAGCGGTTTGCCCGAATGCAGCGACTGTATCGTGCAGGGTGACGACTCCACGTGTGATTTAATCACAAGGTGAGACGCGGCTTCGTGGCAATTGTAGCGGTGGGATTTGCCCAGCGACGGCTTTGGAAGACTTTGCGCACCGTGTCCACAGCCACTAACCCAGTGTCACCAACAAACACGCACGAACACTGGTGCCGGTGTCTATCCAGACACCTTCCCGTTTCTCCGTCCGGAGGACACAGAGACCACGACGGGAATCTCAGAGCTTGAGACAACAAAGCAATTATCTCAAAATGACTCCTAACGGCCACTCGCACTCCACGCAAAAGTGCCTTTGATGAATGCACTTTACACAAAAACCGGACCATAAACATACCCATAGCGCTAACCGCAGTCCTAACCGTAACTCTTAACCCTAAATCCATGCCTTAAGCTATCCCAGCAACTAACTCTTATATAAATCTGAATTACCATTAAAACAGTTATTTCGTGGGGTTTCTTCAAGCGCTATTTAAACGTCTCATATTGTACGAGAGTCGCTTGAAACGACGAAAAAAAATATCTCGTATACACGTTGAACTTCTTTCGCACCGTACGTAGCCAAGTGCGAGGAATCGTAGGTGCGGAGAAGATCCCCGGCAGGAACACGCCAAGTGCGAACGCGCAGTGCGCAGAGCCTAACGTAACCCCTGCCTCACGGCACATCCACCCCGAGAGAGAGGCGAGAGAGAGGCGAGAGAGAGAGGCGAGAGAGAGAGAGGCGAGAGAGAGGTTGGTTGGGGGGGGTGAGGGATTTCCCGGTGGATGAACACCGAGCGCGTGATCGCCAAACGCGCGCGGTCAACCAACCTCGTCGACTTAAAATATCGCGCGCGCGCAAGAGCGCGAGCTACGCTTTTGTGAACGTCGCGCGTTCTCGACGTCTGCCCACACTCGCGAGACGTCGTTTATTCGCTAGGCCGGTGCCATTGTGCCCGTTTATTGCAGTTCCATTGAGGCAGCGTTCGTCAACATTCGCTCGTCGCTGTACGAGAGAGTCTTTACACACACACACGCGCGCGCTCGCGCGCTCGCTAGCGCAGCGATACACATCTCAGCAACTTTAAATACACCACCCCCGCCTCCGTCGCCCACCTCCGCAGCTATTAAACCAATGGGCCCGCGATTATTGGAGTAAATTGCCACTAATTCTGTTTACCCATTTCGTTGAAATCGGCCTTCTCTGTTGTAAGCTCTCCGTGAGCATTCGTCAGCAAGGGATGTCGCGTGCGTGCCGGGCAACGCGCCGCGGCTTGGGATGCTTTCAACAAACGGCCAGGGAATTTGCGACAGTGCCGTCCTGGATAGATGTACTGCATATTGGACTTCTTGGGCACCGTACGTAGCCAACCGTGCTACTCGGGCGTGCGTGGACAGGACGACACAGTTAAACGCGTCTCCGTGCGAGTCGGTGATTGACCTGCAGTTGTGTGGACCAGCGATATCTGCTCCACGTGCCACAAATAATCCACGCCACGTTTCCCTTTGCCCGGCCACGACGATGTCCGCGTCGGTCCCAGGAATAACAATAGCGTGGTATTAATCTCGAGAGTAGCTCGTATCTTACTAAAACTAAATGAACTCTGCTTGTAGTAAATGTTCGGGAATTCCTAAGTTAACTCGTAAGTGTAGCGGTGTTCGCGAATGCACGAGGCACGCAGGTAATTAGGCGGGACACGTATGCTTCCGCCTGCAATGATTTTAAACACGCACACGTACAACTGCATACAGAGATCCTCCCCAAAAGCCTTAACAGATTCAATCTAAATTTGACAGATTCTTGGGGCAAGTGTTGCGAGCGAGCACCTATGAAGGCCAACACGGCACACGAGGGAGTGCGTGACCAGCAGCACGCCCGGCCGCCTTTGTGCGATCGTTTACACACCGCACCACGCAGTGATTTGAGGCTGAGTCTACCTAGGGGAGGCCCATGACCGTTTTAGATAATCATCACTGGTGTTGGCCGTGAGCGGGATTCGAACTCGGGTCGCCGGGTCCGTAGCGCAGCGGCCAGGAGTCGAGGTTTATCAGAATCCGCCACACCGCCCCAAGCCGCTCTGATGAAACGCGAACACATGGGGGGGGGGGGGGGGTGGTGGTGGACCCAGGGAGGACATCACTCTTCTCGCCGTAAGAATGTGAAAGTTCCACCACACGCTCAGCCAATTATGCACACCACGTATACCACCAACGCCAAGCATTTTGTTTGTTTCACCGAACCTAAAGGCGGACTCATTTAGTTTGAATTCCATTCTTGCAGTGGCTTTTTTTGCGTGTGTGCAACGTGTTTATCCAACGCTATCAATTGATTACACGATACGCGTACGTGTTGGGCGAGTTTAATGCGACCGAACTGCACGTGTAGGAGGACGATGGGTTTTCTGAGGTTATCAGTTGGAGCATCTATAAGTAAATGTTCATGTTGCAGCGATAACCGCAGTATACAGTGCGTTATATTTTCACGAATCGCAGCTCAATACCGTCAATAATAATGCCCTTGGTTTATATAAAAAATAAAAAAAGCCTCGCTGCCTTAATACTTTAGGTTTTTTTCCTCGAAGGGTTTCGCATTATTTAAAGCACTGTTGTACCAATTACATAAATGAGTGTGATTTGGGAGCAAACCGGAATACCCAAAGAGGACACACACACACATAAAATGGTCAAACCTCTGTACAGATTGGTTAAATTTTCAATGTTTGTATTTTATGCGCGCATCAGCGTGGCAAGTTAGCTATTACATTTTTTTAAACTGTGTATTCCTTCATTTGAAGCTTTCGTGACTGCAGGAATCCACATACTTTTTTGTTCTTTCGGTAAAGTCATGCAGGTAGAAAATTAATAGATCACGACGTTTCGATCGCAACACAAGCAACCATCATCAGGTGAGACAAACACAGCAGAATAACTGCTGACGCAGGAGTCTCCTGCGATCGCAACGTGGTGATCCATTAATTTTCTATCTACGTGACTTTACCGAAAGAACCAGAGTATTCCTTGTTAATGTTTCATTCGACTGAGAAAAATCAAATTGCCCATTCGCCAATAAACACTGCAGCATTCTAATGCCAAATATATAATAGACGACTTTTCGGAACACGCCCCTTCTTCGTCGTACCCGGAGAAAGAAAAGCCATTCCAGAAAAAAAGTCGCCTATCATCTACGTTTTCCTTATAAGGCCACAGTGTTTTTGACGAATCTGCCGAGTTGGTGTTGTGCATTGTGTTCGTGCACCACTGCCAACGCAGCAGCAGCAGCAGCATCACCAAATATATTGTGCAAAATTGGAATGAAAAGTTCCGTCTAATACAAACACCACGACTAAACACCACTTACATCTCACTATACCACTGCGGTGTGGACAGGTGCGACATGTCGGGGATTTCCGTGAAGCCGCCGCTACATCTGAAGTACCCCGAATACTGAGAGATGTGATTTCCCCCCCCCCCAGCGCGTGATGCGCACAGCAGAAGTCTAAGCGCTTGCACTCCGAGTCGAACTCTCAAAACCGCACTGCGCGGACCTCAGTTGGTAATGATGAAAGGCAGCCACCACTCTGCTCTGCGTCAAAACCAACTCACGTCGCACTTGCATGAAAACCGCAAGGTACAGCAGGCGTAATTGTCTGGGAACGGACGAATTTTCATCGACAATTGTGATTAGCCTCGTGTCTTTTTTTTCCTGACCGTTTCAAACGACGTAGTTTGATTCAGAACTTCGATTCGAGCTCTCAAACAATGAAAACATGGTCCGTGCCACACGTTAGTTTTTTTGTTGCGTGTGTGTGGACGTGTGTGTGTGTGGACGTGTGTGTGTGTGTGCGGGGCTGTGTTCGTGTCCCGGGAAATCGTGGAGCCATCATCATCGCTATCATCATACGCGCCAAGCTGGCGTGGTGAGGTGCACGGTCTCCACAGAAGGCCACCTTTACCACGCCAGCCTTCGCGAGTGACCCGCGGGAGACACGGTCACTGCGCGGCGCGCAAAGTTTCCCAGGAGCGCGCGGGACTTCAGTGTGGCGAGTCACTGACTCCGCGCGGGAATCGCTCGACTCGCGAGAATAAGAAGAAGAAAACACCGCAGAGGAGAAAACGCGCGACTCGAGGAGTCTGGCTGCTGTCTCCTGCACTCTCTGCTGGGAAAGCCCCATTGTGGGGACGCAGAGCGAAGGACTTTTTTTTTTAAACGCCGAGTGACCCCGGCGGATTTGCGCCGGCTTTGTTGTCGGCAAAACCAACAAGGCGCTTTAAAAACAGCGGCCCGGTGCGCGCGCCCGTGCGTGCATGTGCGTGCATGTGCGTGTATGTGATTGTGCGCGTGTGGCCGTGCGGGTAAACAGCGCGCATGAGCGACCACACACCCCGGGGAGGAGTGAGCCGGGACCCCGTACCTGGCGCCGGGGAGAGGAGGCCGCGGCGGCGGGAGGCTCCGAGAAGCACAGGGACCCTCGAGCGGCGATCCAAGCCGCCTAGAAGGAACGCAGAAGATGAGGATGATGCAGGGAGGGCTGCCGTGAAGGGGGGCGGGGGGGGGGAGGCTGCTGCCTGATCGGGCTTGGCTGGGCGGGTGCACGAGGAGGAGGAGGAGGGAGGGAGGCGGGGAACGGCCGCTCCTTCAGCAACTCGGTGCAGGCAGTGCAGCTGTGCTCTTCGCGCCGCGCTACTCCATGGCGGAGCGCGGGTAGCTCACGTGGGTGCAGCGGAGAGGGGACTCCTATTAACTCGCGCCGCTTGTAAACTTCTCACTTCTCAAACTTGACAGCGCCCCCCCGCCCCTCGGCTCGTCGCGCAGCTCGTTGGCCGCTCCTCTCACTCCCTCCCCCCGCACTCTCCTCCACCTCTTCCTCCCACCACCACCACCACCCCCCGAACACCCCTTCCTCCCTCCCCGCTGCCAGCTCGCGTATCCGTCCGGCTCATGCCTTGCGGATCACGGCTAGACGTGAACACCCCTAGCAACTCCGCTCCACCCCAACCGACCCCGACGCGTCTTCATGCCCCCCACCCACCCACCTCCACACTCGTTGTAGAACCTTGTCCACCCCCCCCCCCTGGTTTATTGCGCCCCCTCTTTGTAGAACTGTGAGCCCCGTATACAGGATGGAGTCTGTAGTGTGGTCTCGTTTTTCGCCACGGCGCGAGTTGGGGGGACAAACTTGTAACAGATGCTGCCGAGCCAGACACGAGGGGCTGCTGCTGCTGCTGCTGCCGAGTGCGAGTGGTGGATCTCGCGTGCCGCGTATTGGGAGGCGAGCAGAGAGGCCCAGCCGAGTGGAGAGTCGCCACGGGCACCCACGCGGTGCGGCGACTGTCGTTCACATTAGCGCGATATTATTTTATTGGGAATTTTTGGAGAGCAGGCTTCACCTAAATTGGTGCTCAGAGTAAATCGCCTCCTCCTCCCGATTACGCACCGTCCCCGCGTGCGAGGTGTTTCGACAATGACTGCACTTCGCAGCGTGCACGTGAGCCCGGCGCGACAACTCCACGGCAAACAAACAAACACAAAGATGTAATAATAGGGGTTTTCCCCCTTTTTTCTGCCAACAAAACTGAAACCTTTTAACGAGGATTCATGCCACTGCATTGACCACAATACCTGCAGTCAAAATGCAAACATCTGGTCGAGCACCAATTGGGTTGAGGCTCAAAAGAAAGCCGTCCCTTGGTGTGGACCAATCAGTTTCAAAGATAATGCATCATATTATCATAGTATGTTTTTTTGTTTGCATTTTGACTGCAGGTATTGTGGTTAATGCAGACATGAATCCTTGTAAAAAGGTTTCACTTTTGTTGCCAGAAAAAAAGGGGAAAACCCCTATTATTAGATTTTGCCACTGGCAAAGGAGGTTCTAATGATGAAACACAAAGATGCTCGCGTGTTAGATGTGGCTTTGTGTTAATTAGTGTGTCCATGTTATTCCAGTGCCGGCGTCAATGGCTACTGCAGATGCGAGTGCGTGAGTGCGTGCGTGCGGGGAGCATCGTTGGTGCATCTGCCAGTGATCTTAGTCAACCTACGGCATCTGGGGGTCAGTTTATTCCACGACCTCCTGCCAGCGGGCCTTCGACACTTCACGTTGCCTCAAAGTGCACCTAGCATGGCACAAGCACCGCGGTGGACGTCAGAGCCACGTAGTGATTGAAAACGAATTTCTTTAGAATAGCTTTTTGTGTTTCGTTTTGTTGTCCTTCCCCCGCACTTCCGATTAGCACGGTTGGCTACGTACGGTGCGAAAGAAGTTCAACGTACAAATTGGTGAAAGGCGGTTGTTGTTGTTGTTGTTGTGTTGCGTGCGTGATTCCCCTCCGTGGTTCCGTGGTTAACCCAATTTAAGTTGGAAAGGATTACCGACCTCTCGCACCCTGGTGGATGTGAGCACACTCTCAGGGTAATCAGCTGACTTGCGTTTGCCTGTCCCCTTCGCTCAGTGGTGAACCGCGGCTGTTGCCGTGTGTGTGTGTGTGCGCGTGTGTGCGTCTTTGTGTGGACAATGGACACCCGATGTACCGGCGCGGGCAGAGCCGAGGGCGGGAGAAATTCCTTCGGCTGAGTGAGGTGCAGCTATGCCGCTGTGATTTTACGTCCAACACGTGGGGCAATGCTTTCTTGTGCCCCGCCAGACGCTATTCTCGTCCAGTTCTCGTCGTTATTCCGCGCCGCAAATGAAGGGAATTCTGTAGCGACGCGCTTAATGAGTGCGCCCACGCGCGCGCGTGCCCGCGAGTGGGCGCGCAAACACCGCCAACGACGCCGCCGTGAGTGGCTGCACGCGCGCGTGCGTAAAATTCCGCGTGCGATGCTGATGGTGGTGGGGGGGGGGGGGGCTTCCCGTGTGTGTGGAGCGGTGGTGGTGGCGGTCAGCGCTGCGAACCTGGTCACTCGAGTTCGATTCCAGCTCACGGCCAACACCGGTGGCGATTATCTGAACCGCTCCCGGGCCTCCCCTAGGTCGGCTCGGTCTCAAAAGAGTACCGGGCGCGGTGTGTAAAAAACATCGCCACTAGGGAGACAAAGGCGGCAGGGCGTGGTGTTGCCCCCCCCCCCCCACCCCCTCGTGTACCGTGCCGGCCTTTATAGGTGCTCGCTCACAGCACCTGCCCCAACAGTCTGTTGTTACACGGGGGGTCTTTGTCTTTGGATGTGGCGGCGTCGCTGTAGCTTCAGCACACTTCACAGGGTTTCTCGACGAAAAATAAATTCGCCCAGCCACTCAAATGTTAGTCCATCAAACGCGATACACATTGAAGAATCACATTTGTTGGTGGCGTTATAATAATGGCAGATTTTTGTATTTGGCGACATCGCTACCAAAATAATGGACGCAAGTCGAACATGATTTCTTGCACAAATTTGCAGACATACGGTGCTCATCTCCAGTTTACGGCCTTGAGCCGGTGGTGGAAATTGCACATTCGCACGGCGGGGGCGAGTCTACCCCAAAAGAAAAACATCTTTAACTTCCCCATAACGTGGGAGTCATTGCATCATTCCCGGAGGGGCGATTGGCCAAGTTAACCCCCGAGCAGGATTTTGAAATTGCAAACTTCCGATTGTGAGCCACTCGCTCTACCGCTCAGCCACCTGGGGTGAATACCGAACCCTGGACGGATACCTGTGATACGCCTCAACATGATTCATACAACTCCCTGCAAAGGCAATTGAACGCGTTTGTTTCGAGTGGTGCGTGCAGTGTTACCTACCCTACGGGATGTGAAAGATGCTTCATCAAATAAATAATTGATGATGACGATGGTGATGAATTTATTATTCTTTCGTATGGCTGATGTAGACGCAGAGCAACAACTACAATTTCACATTCAGGTGGTCAAGCCAGACAACCGCGTCAGGAGCAGCGGGTGCGCTGTAATGTCTCCTTCGTACTGTATGTGGATCGGGCAATTGAATCTTATGGCGGGACCACGAGATCCCGAATAAACGGAAGTCAAAATCGTAAAAATTGTTTATTTTTTTATTTTTGGCGACTCCGTCCCACCGCGCAACATAAACGCCGCGACCCACCTGGCGCCGATAATTCTGTTGTCGTGACGTCCAAGCGTAGCAGCGAGGACGAATGCGCAGAAGATCTAAACAAGCGAATGCACTCCGTGCTCGGGTATGGGCAGGATCATAATAAGTCTTATCCAAAGCTGCTCAACTGCCTACACGACTTAAATCCTTTATTTGTCGTAACGGTATGCATAACACAGTGAAACTGCTCTCTTATCTTCATTATTATTTGTGACCTACCAATGTCTGCAGCCAGGATCAATCGATTACAATCCTATTACCTGTAGATATTTAACAGATGAGATGCGTTGCACCGTGAATTCCTCCTGTTTCATAATACTTCTCTTGTCCGCTCGTATGAATGTGGATAAGTGCACCGGAAACCCACTACTCTGTAGAGTAACATTGGTATAAACGCTTGTTACAATATGAACAGCGCATTGAAAACGCGTACTATTTTATGTACTGTTTACAAAGTGTGTTCACAAATCCACACTGAGAAACACGATGATTGACAGAGGGGTGTAAAACAAATTTTCGATAGTGTATTTAAATAGAGGTACTGCAGGTAAGTAGTTTTCAGTTTTAAAGGCATAGTTTAACCAGACAACACTTGTCACCATCATTATAATATAAAGTTTATGCGAGAGCCGGGGGCTTATGGGACCCCGGGGTCCCGCCATAAGGTTCAATTGATGATGCCACGCAAAAGTAATGCCTTTAATTTAAACACGAGGCATGCACGCAGCACACGTGGGTTTATGTGTGCAGCAAATCACAAAGTGTAAAGAGTTGGAATGGTCATAAACAGGTCCCTGCAGGGTGGGCTGGTAGGAACATTGGAATTTTATTTTTACACCCAACAGCATGAGATTTCACTTCGTTAAAGTATTGAAAGGGGACGGACGGACGGACAGACACATTAATCTATTGCAGGCTGGTACACTCAGTTTACAACTTCGTTCCTACCAGTATAAGGCATCACTGGTAGTGAAATCAGAGTAAAAAAAAACTCTACTTGAGTAGTTTTGCGCAGTCCGCGGCTTATGACTCACCACAGATCTTTGTTGACTGCTATGTTGCTACACCCTCAAATTGTGCAAGCACAGCCCTTTTGCCAATCCACTGCTGGATGAGGACGCACACTCGATGTTGAGTGGATCCGGTCCACATGGAGACACCACGAGGCATTTGGCTATCGAGGCCACGTCCTTCCTGAAGAGAGTCGGTGATGTAAAATCACGCCCCACGGTCTCCCTTGTTTAACACAACAATGACCTGTAAAAACTGTCAGTGGATAGAATAAACTTTTTTTATTTTAATAACTTATGATTCCTCAAGTGATGTTTTTTGTTCGTGTTATGTTTTTACTACATTATTTTCTGCACTTTTTAGTTTTTTGCTTTTATTATTTTTGGCGACTCGGGTCGCTCTTGCAAATGAGACTTGTCAATCCTGGTCTCTTGAGGTCTGGCCTGGGTTAAACGAAGTAAACTTGAATTTGAACATGAAACAAAATCTGAAAATGTATTTTATCCCATTACCTTTACATCCCGTGGCATTACAGTCCATCGCTGGTAGCTTACACCCCGGCATGGCACCAAGAAAAAATATTTGAGGCCAGTGCCACTCGCGTCGAATCATTCCCAGCTCTCAACACGAATCGCCGCACCTCGTGCGCACGTGTGGATATGAAACATCACGTGGCACAACATATGCGGGTGACATAGGCTGACGTGCCCGTCAAATTGTGGTTAAGGTCGTTGATTCCCACCACCATCCAGCCCAGAAGAATTCCCACGATCGAA